GGGGGACTGTTTTGGGACACTCTTGTAGGACACTCTTGCGGGACACTCTTGTAGGACACTCTTGTGGGACACTCTTGTAGGACACTCTTGCGGGCCACTCTTACGGGGCACTCTTGTGGGACACTCTTGTGGGACACTCTTGTGGGGCACTCTTGTGTGTCACTCTTATGGGACACTCTCTTGCGAGACACTCTTGTAGGACACTCTTGTGGGTCACTCTTACACGACACTCTTGTAGGACACTCTTTGTGGGACACTCTCAAAAGCACTCTTGTGGGTCACTCTTATGGGACACTCTTGTCGGACATTCTTGTGGGACAGTCTTGTGACACACTCTTGTAGGACACTCTTGTGGGTCACTCTTACAGGACACTCTTGTGGGGCACTCTTGTAGGACACTCTTGTAGGACACTCTTGTGGAACACTCTTGTGGGACACTCTTGTGTGACACTCTTGTAGGAAACTCTTGTGGGACACTCTTGTAGGACACTCTTGTGGGGCACTCTTATAGGACACTCTTGTGGGACGCTCTTAAGGGACACTCTTGTGAGACACTCTTGTGGGACACGGTTGCGGGACACTCTTGTGGAACACTCTTGTGGGACACTCTTGTGGGACACTCGTGTCGCGACACGGTCTGCCCACACACTAGAAGCAGTCACGCGAGCGTTTCGTACGAGACTTCCTCCAAAAGTCACGCTTCGAGGCTGCAAGACGAGCGTTTCGTACGAGACTTCCTCCTAAAGTCACGCGTCAAGTCTCCAAAACGGAGCGTTTCGTACGAGACCTCCTCCAAAAGTCACACGTCAAGTCTCCAAAACGAGCGTTTCGTACGAGACTTCCTCCAAAAGTCACGTGTCAACTCTCCAAAACGAGCGTTTCGTACGAGACTTCCTCAAAAACTCACGTGTCAAAGTCTCCAAAACGAGCGTTTCGTACGAGACTTCCTCCAAAAGTCAAGCGGAAACACCCATCGGAGCACACACATCACGCAGCCCTGCCAAGCAGTTTCGCGATTCCAGCCCCTCCAAACAACACCCGCTCACACGCCAATCCCAATGAGACAACGACAGTCACCTCTACCACAACTCACAACCTCACGATTCCCTGCGCCTGCCACGCATCTTTCCGCGTCCGCACGTCTAACGCGCACAAAGTACTGCGCCTGCCACGCAATGTCACCTCCGTCACACCTCGCAACCTCACGATTCCCTGCGCCTGCCACGAAAATCACACTTCCATGCCTCAAAACCCGCACAAAGTACTGCGCCTGCCGCGAAAAGTGACAATATCATCTCATGTGAGCTTCAACAAAATTTGCACCACACCACACGTTTGGAATGATTTCGATCCGTTCTGAGCACACTCCCATCCACCAAAATCGCCATTTCAGCTGAGACTTGTCACGAAAACAGAGCTTCGATGCCACACCCTGAAACGCAAATCCCAATGGCACGGCCACATCCAACACCCCAAAAACACGACTCTCCAAATGCTAATCCCAATGGAACTGCGTAGCAAACTGAGGATCTCACAAAACGCTGCGCCTGTGCAGCGAAATGCATCACGCTTCTTGCGCGACATGTCATTTTCATGCAAATCACAATGGAATAGCGTCGCAAACTGACACGTGACACATCCATGAAAAGTCACTTGCAAAAGCTTCCCCCAATGGCAGCGCCTTAGCGCTCTACTGCGAACGGTTGCGAACGGTTGCGGACGGTTGCCAACGGTTGCGAACATAGAAGCAACGGGTCGCGAACAAAGCTCTACCCCCAGACCCCCCAAGAGTTAAACGAGAACCCTTCGCTACGCATTCGGGAAAAAGCTCTTGCAACAACGCACGTTTAAAACACATACCATTGAAGCATTGCCCTAGAAATATATCCACCATGGACCATAGCTTAATAGCCTTTACCGAACCACCATTGTTTTACGGTTTTACACTAGACAAAACAAGCCAGATCAACCATCATGGTTAAAAAAAAGTAAAACCTGGTCGACTTGACTTCCAGGGTATGTGGTTTTTGTGTTTGAATGGTTTTGTTGTTTCGTTTCTTTCGGTCTATCCACCTCGAGGCCATCTTGGACGGTGACTTCCAGGCGTGGACCGCCGTCTGTTCCCGCGTTTGTTCCCGGACCGGTCCAAGGGGCCGGG